CTACAGTACGTCATTTGATCAACCCAATTTTCAAGTACTTTTTCGATTGCTTGGCTTGAATTTCATGAATGGCAACGTCGATTTGGTTTCAAGGCCTCAATCGTTTCTGGATGGTTAACCTGAGTACCACATGCGACAATTTTGCACATCAGAGATCGCGTCTTATATGGTAATTACGTAAAGACCAGCAGTGTTCTCTAAGCAGCTCAAAAGTTGCATCTTATTCCAGCATCTCATACCGCATCTCCGGTGAACTGAAAGTTGAAATAAAATTTTGTACTCCGTCATTGAATCACCATGTGATATTTTAAAAACTCTTAAAAAACTAGTCCATTTGCAGTTATTTAAAATTTTTTCATATTAAATATAATTTCGCAATATTTCTTGGATAAAACCAATTATTTTTAATAAATGTAGGATGTAATGGAAATATACTACAAACAACAACCATTACTATGTTAACGTTTTTATGCGGAATGAAAAACAATGAAATAAATAAAAACGAAGGCAGATTATGTTGAAACGAATTGCAAACAATAAAATCTTAAATATTTGAAATCGTAAAAACAATAGCGGTGTATTAACGACTTGATAATAACAAATATTATGTGTAAAACGTAAAATGTATAAAAACATTCTTAAATGTTAACGTAAAATAGTTCTTTTTGACGTCATTGAAGCTTCGTTCCGTTTTCTTATCTTCATTATTTTTCTCGGGCGCACATGCCAAAAACAAAACACGTCCTTCAAATCCGAAATTGCGTAACGATGACCCGCGGCTATAAAAGGGGGCGCCACCGCAGGGAGTTAGTAACAGCAGCAGGTAGAAAATCGAAGGGGGGGTCGCCAAAGTCGAAACGAGAGCTGCCTGCAACAGATATGTGGGCAACCGACGTCAGCGCCACCTAGTTCGTTCTCGCAATCGCAGTAATGTCGAAAGCTTGTCCAAGAGGGTGGAACAAACCCCCTACTCTCAAAATCCAAACCATTTCTTAGTTTTCCCAAAATAATTTTATTAGCTATATATTTATGTATCAAGACAATCAATTGTTTATTTTAATTGAATTTAAAAAAAAATTGTTTCTATATCATTTTTATTGTTAAGAGTTGAAATTTAATTCACCCCTTTTAACTAAATAAATCTACTTTTAAGTTTATTGGTCTCTGCAGGGTATTTCTGAATGTATTAAACTAGTTGTTTTAAGACGGATCGTAGTATGCATATCACGTAAGTACGTGTGAATGTCCGAAAGAGGGTGGTTGTGTTTAATAGTAGGTATGGGAAGTTGTTGAGACGACCGTTAGGGGTCAGCCAACAAGAAAAGGCACTACGGTTGATTAGTTCGCGCTGTCGCCGTTGTCGCCCAGCGCTTGATGCATAGCCGCCTCTCGAAATGGGCTATTTGTATGTGCATTTTGATACGGTCCATTTAATCTCCTCGCAAAGGGGTTGGAAAGGGGGTTGATGTTCCTCAAATCCATTCTTAAAAGAACACCATTAAATCGTAATTGTGAAAATGAATTATTCAATGTATTTAATTTTTATACGCCCTCCACCCCTCAAAAAAAAAGCACAGCAAGAGAGGGTTGAAATCGAAATACACAAAAAAAACTATTCTAGAAAATAAATAAAAGAGCACAATCAAGTGAGCTGTCAAAACCGTAGATAGTACAATAAACGTGAATGCGGGGGGAAATCGTTGGGGGTTTGTATATTCGGTTTTTGTAAAGGGGGGGCCAATAACTGCAGATTAAACTCAATCAGTCGGGCGGGTCGAATCGCGTCTGGCCATGACACGCGTCAAAACGTATAAAACAATCGACGTCGACGACGATGGTGGCGGCGGCGCCGGTGACGTGACCACGCCCCGAACTATCTCTCTTCGGTACACTGCCGAGGTCACACCAGGTGGCGCACGTGTACGTCTGATGACGCAGCAACGGCCATTGTTTTCCCGGACGGGATGCGCCCGCTTGATCCGTAATCACGTGCACTCGACAGACTATCCTCCTACATAGACGTGTGCTATGTCAAAAGTTTTATTTATCTCCTTTTATTTACTTGTTCAGATTATGTATCAATATTTGTATAGTGGTACACTACACACATACATTGTATGTAAAAACACAAAATATGTGTGTACCTATGTATGTGGTCTTTATAATAACAATACTACAACTTTGTACTAGTTAATAGTTTTCGTGAGGCCTCTCAATAAGCTATTCTCCTGAGAATGGAAGTTGGTAACCCAGCAGCAGATTTCAATAAAAGTCATGGTTCTTGAACAACTTCCTCTTGGAGGTAATGTTTTATTGTGAGGTTGTTGTGATACTCTTCCCATGAATTATCCACGACTACTAAGCTGTTGTAAAAACTTTCAAACACTCTCACCATCGCAATGTGGTACATTCCCTGGTGTAAATTGAGGCTCAAGAAAACTGAAATCTCGTAACATTTCATGGATAATGGGAATTGCTGAGGTCTCATCCTTTATTCCCTCAAAAGATTGGCCAATCCCACCTTCTGCACCGGAATGATTTCATTTTGTAGACAAACAACGATACTAAGCTTTTGTGGAAGCCGGCCAAAACTTAAGTTAAGGTGCAGAATGATAACAAAACCGAAACATTGTGCTTATCTAAAAATTCTTAATGAATTAGTGTTGAAAATCCGTCGAGGACCATCATAAAATGATATTTACAATGGACCCAATAGTATTTAGATTTTTGCAACACTTCTATTGGCAGTATACAGGATGTTTCCGTAAGTCATGGCATAATTTTAAACACAAATACTAGAATGAAAATGATGACGATTCGTGTAAAAATTTTTAATCCAAACCCATAAATGGTTAAGATATGGGCCTTCAAAGTTAAGAAATTTTCAAACATTTTCTTAAATATTTTCAATATGCTTTGTCTTATAAAGATAAAATTTGGCAAACAATGCAATTTTATCATGAGAAATCGTTTAAGATCACTTTTGAAAGTATGCAACCACGGGATGAATGCTATACAGGTGTCCACAAAGGTTATTTCCTTAAAACTTTTTTATTATGTCGTTAACCCTTAAAATTTCCAACTGATTCTAAAAGCCTATTTCATTTTAAAATTATTTTTACTCTTAGTAATTTTTGATTAGACGCATCGTTTTAGAGTCATTCACAAAAAGATACAACCTCGTCCATGAAATATTGTCATAAATCGTAGGCGTCTATGAAAATAAATCGTAAGTAAAGCAGTAAAGCAATATGTCAAATAAATGGTCATCAATAAAAAGTATTTTTTCTAAACACGCAGCATCAATAGTACATTTTTCAATCATAGTATGGCAAAACTATACTCGCAATGGATGATCAGCATTTTTTAATTCTTGTACTGTCGACAAATGGTATGTTCGTGTGGCACACGCCAAGCCGTACTTTTGGATATTCCGAACTGTTGATATCAACAGTATCATCAGTAACACCCTGTATAGTTTTCTGCTGCCACTCTCTAATCTTCTGTCAGGAGTGTCTAATCTTCTGTTAGCAGTATCTGGTCTTCATTAGCAATATTTAGTTTCTACCAGCAATCTAATCAGGTATAAAGAAAAAAGTAATGCATATTTTTTTTTTTAAGTATGGTTTTATTAGAAAGATTAACTGCCACGGCTGGCCCTACAGTACATCATCCAATCAACCCAATTTTCAGGTACTTTTTCGATTGCTTGTGCTTGAATTTCATGAATGGCAACATCGATTTCGCGTTTCAAGGCGTCAATCGTTTCTGGATGGTTAACGTGACTCTCAAATGCGACAATTTTGCTTATTGACATGGTCTCCGATGTGGAAATGGGCTTCATCTGAAAAGATGATTTTTTGGTAAAAATACTCATCTTCAGCCAAGCGATCTCCAGCAGATTAGGCGAACCGAAAACGCATCAAATGGTCATGAGGCTTCAATTAAGGGACTAATTGACTTTGTAAGCCTTCATACCGATGTCTTTATGCAAAATTTTCTTCAGAAAAGTGCGAGAAATGCTTAGTTCCTGAAAATGATAACGAGTTGATATTGGTGGATCTCATGAACACTCTAAGTAACAGCAGCAATGTTTTCAAATTCCAAACGTTAGCTGACCCACCTTGTATTAGTAGTGTCTAGTCTTTCCAGTCGGTTTTTTCTCTATATGGTTTCCATATTAATTGAATAATCCCCCAGTTGTCATTCCTATTTCTGCTTCCTATCTCAATTTCTATTATTATCAGTTTTTTCCAAACTCTCTTTTCTCTGTCTACCATCTTTCTTGTTTTTACAGCTTCCCTTCTTTCACCCTATATCATTTTTAGTCTCATCTCTCTTAATACTAGTCTATGTCTTCTCATTCTAGTCTCTGTTCAGTCTCCTTTTTCTGTTGCCAGACTTTCTCTGGTCTTCTTCTTGTTTCCATCTTCTCTGCCCATGTTCTTCTTGTCATTGTAATCTCTCCTTCTTCTAATTCTTGTATTAACAGTTTCTTTACTATTTCCCTATTTTCTATCATGTTTTTTCTTTCCACTGTATCTTTCTAGTCTCCCTTTTTTCTTTCAAGCTACCTCTTTTTAGTACCTGCTCAGTTTCTTTCATCTGTTACTAATCTCCGCCTCATCTTTACAGTCTCTTTCCAACATCACTCCACTCTGTACAATCATCTTATCCTTATTTCAGCCGGTGCTGAGTCTTTGACTTTTATCTATTTATATCTATTTCACAGAACAAATAAAAGCAATAATAGAGGTTGAAGAATATGAGGTTTTAGCTTGAGAATATAAACTGCCCGGAATTCTAAAAATATGCATTTCTTACGATGGCATATTGATTACCAGCCCATACTTAGAAGATACACACCTACTTACTTAAATTACTGAAGGTAGGGTTGGGATTTTGGCAACATACTTCTAAAAGTACTGATGATTTTAAATTAATAACGAACACCACTTTGCATTCTAAGGATACAGATTATAAAAAATTGTCTAAACTTCTACACTGTATAACTTTATTGTTGATCTGGATACTGAAGAAGTAACAATCTACAACCTCATTCATGAGGATAATTTGAAATTATAGTCCTTTTTGAATTCAATTTTGTAGTTCTGCAAATTTTGGCAATTTATCAGTGCTATATAAAATTCAGAGAACATTCAATGTAACCCATACTAATTAATTCTTATTATATTTAATTTACATTTTTGCGATATATTTCAAAAATCTATAAAATTGCCGACAAAAGAAACTTATCTTAAACATTAAAATTTTTTTATAATTTCTTTAAACTCTTTCACAGAACAATGAATAAGCATTTCCCTCTTTTTTCCAATTCCATTCAAACTAATAACTTGTCATTTGCATTCCATTCCAGTCCAACAAACCTTTACGTCCCTTCCGAATGCCTGGATAAATAATTACATAAAATCTAAAGGTCATTCGAATTCCACTTTACGGAATAGTATTCGTAACATTATTATAAAATGACTGCGAGCGTACTCTCAAAAGACGTCATCAACGCGAAATGATGAATGGTTGGAATTTAAATTTTATCAGTTTACATAAAACATTTTCAATCCTACGTAAAATTTTTACGGTAAGAAAAGGAAAAGTAACAACACGTGCGTAATATAAAATCAAGGTGTTTATAAAAAAATCCTTTATACACAATTCTTTAAATTCAATTTGATTTCTCGAAAAGGTAAATGAATCGCGCGCAGCTCATTAAAAAAAACTTGCGGAATTCTCGCTTCGAACATATTTTAATAATTTCTACGTTCTTCCTAATATCATGACCATATCGTTCGAGAATTTTTATTTCTTTTTTCTTGCGGTAACAATTTACGCGTTTCTGGAATCCGAAACGATAAGCAACATTTCGTACTTTTTATAATTCCTTTCTGTCAGTTTTATCGAGTTACAATAAAAATAATTGTGTGGGTAGGAAATATTTTATGTAATAATAAAATTGAAACTTCAACCATTCATTATTTAATCCTGATCATGTCTTTTGATTACTTGGTAATATGACAATTATTCCGAGATTTTGATATCGTTATCTAGTATTACCAGCATATTTCCAGAATTTTTTTTTCTGCCCAGTTTCTATCATCTCTTTCCAGCCTCTTTTTAGTCTCTAACTTGTATTACCAACTAGAAATGAGCAAAACTGCGATTTTGAAATCGCAATGAAAACTGCGACTGTGATTTTGGAATCGCAGTAACTGTAACCTGTGATTGCGATTTCTGTGACTATGATCTTTTTTTTATAATCGACAGCAAAACTGTCTTTTGTTTTTAAGTTACTGATGATTGATGTTATTGATTACTGATATAATGCAATAGTTCGAAACAAGTGGAAAACTCATTATTCTGTTATTCTTTGCTAATATATGTTAAAATTATATTTTTTCGAATATCTGTCAGACGTAACACATGCACTAAGGCTCTCCTGCGCAACACATGCTAGGTGCAGAAACAAATATTTATTTTCTTTCCATCATTTCAATGCGTCTTTGTTGCTAGACACTCGTTCGCAATCTAAAAATTGCTGTACTTCTAATAACGACCATGGCGAGGTGTAGCACTGATTATGAAATCCAGAAATCACTTACTATGGATCTGAATAAATTTGCTGCTTGCTTTGAAGCGCACAACATAAAATTAAGTGCAAAAAAAACGAAAATTGTTAACTATCACTTATGCTCTGACCAGATCAAGGCGAGGTATCGGGATACTGAGGTTGCCAATGTTCAAGAGATTTCGTTTCTGGGAAATGGATCCTGGACTGCCTTGGACCAATCATATTGATTTCCTTGCTGGCAAGATTAGTCATTTCTCATATGCTATTCGGATTATTTCCAGATCAGCTGGCATTGAAGCAGCATTAAATGCCTATTATGCCTATATTCATTCCTTGCTAAGATCTGTCTTTTGGGGCCGTGGTGTTAGTATAGATATAGTATAAATAGAATCTTCATACTACAGAAGAGGTGTGTAAGAGCAATCTTTGGTCTAAAAAATACAGATAGCTGTAGAAGTTACTTTAAAGACTATAAAATACCTACCTTGTATGGAATTTATATTCTGGAATGTGCCGTATTGGTTAGGAAGAATTACTTGAATGTTTCAAAAATATGAAATATCACATACTCGAGATACGCGCGGGAAGGTGAACTGCTATCTGGAGCCACCAAAAACGCACCTTACTAAGATTCAGATGACCAGAGTATCAAGATCTACAATCACATTTCGGAGGTTACAAGGATCCTGCCAGTTCCAAGATTCCGGAGAAGACTGAGAGCTATTGTCACGGAAAATCCGATGTATTTATGTATTATCGATGGATCCATTGATATGTTTTTCCAATTTAATGTTTGAATTCAATTTGTATTATATTACAATGTAATTATTACATTTATCTATTCAAAATCCTCCCAAAAATCGTCATCGTCCATATTTTGATTTCTGGCTTCATTTGACTTAAATACAACTTCTTTTTCTAGCAGCTCGGCTTGCTAACTCGCCTGAAATCTTTTCAGCTACCAAAGAAATAACATTTTGTTTGGCAATTTCTGCATTTATTCTGCAGAGAAGCTATTAAGTATTCCTCTCCTGAAATATTTTTGGTCACGTTTTGGAAAGGTTTAAGGATATGAACCAATTGCTTAATAATATCTCGTTCCCCTATTATCAAGTGATGTTTTAGTTCCATATTAATTATGGACATAGTGGCTTTTACAGGTTCTTTTAAGACTATTAACATTTCTAACATGTAAAACGTGGAGTTCCAACGTGTAGATACGTCTTATAAAAGTTTTAAAGGGGTTTTATTTCCCTGATTTTGTTGATACCCTATAAGTCTTGCGGCAGCGCGGTGGCTTCTTTTAAAGTACTTTTCAATATGTTTTACTCGTCTAACAATATTAACTATCTCTTTGGCTTTTAATCAGTTGCAGATATAGTCGCAGTCGCGTATAAATTTGCAGTTTACTACGAAAAAGGGTTACAGGTTGCGATTTCTTGCTCATCTCTATTACCAAACTATCCATTAAAGGCTCGTAGAGATATNACCTTAGATATTCATAACCTTTTTCAAATCTTCATAAGCTTTTTGTTTTGCTAACCTGTCTTTATAAGTAACACTTTTAATATGCCATAAACATTCATGTTTGACATTTTTACTAACAAACTTGACGGTAGTGTTTTCGCTCCATCACTCTGACATGTTTGTTATTATACTACATATTGCTAATTCACTAAACTAAATTTATGAGTTCGGACGTGTTTAGTGGCAGTTGTAAGTAGTGGGGGTACGCTACTCGACCGAAAAATAGAATCAAATGGATCTACTCGACTAAATTGTAATCTCCGCACGTATCGAGTTACTAAATTGCTCGCTACTCGACTAAATTACTAAACATGTTTATACGAGCCTTTAGAGCCAAGGGCAAAATAAAAACAATATTTTTTCTTCTTGTACATACATACAAACTTGTGCTACCAGACAAAAGCATCCTAGTTATTAGTGGCTTAGGTCACTTGCGTCCTGAATGAGTGTAGTCACTTGATATCGACTACACTCATTTATATCCTGAATAACATTATAAATTCAGTACTTAGTTTTTGCAAAAATTTACGTCAGAACAGATATAATTCTATATTCTAATGTGGAGGAAGATTAAAGTAGAGGGTAATGATAAAAGATATGATATTGCTGTTTGATCACTTCTCAATAAAGTAATGAAACAAGCTCAAAAAGTTGACAATTGTAAGATACAGGTTGCAGAAGAAATAAAGAATGTGTCTAAAGAGTATGCAGTATAACTTTCGATGGAGAAATTTGTCAGCTTTAGTTTTGTGTTTAGTGAATTTGATGAAATATGATACCAAACAAGATGAGGTTGTCATCTAAGCTGTCAAAAGGATTTTCTTTGAATAAGTTTTTTCTTATGGTTTCGATCAAAACTAGTCTTGATGCCATTTATAGACGATAAACACCATTTGTGGGATAACATTAATTTCCTATAAACCTGCAAAAAAGTTAAATTTAATCCAATTAATTTATAATTATTTTGTGACTCACTAACATAGCTTTAATAATAATAACTATATTACTCAACGTATTATTAATAAATAAATGATCAGAACAATCAGATTAAGGCAAAACGAATCAAAATGATTCATATTCCAATAATTAATCATCGATTCAACAAAATTTATTGAAAATATAGGCAACCCAATTAACAAAGTTTCCAATGTAATTCTTAATTCTTCGGTTTTCCGATAGATGTCGCGATTTGACCGAGTTTGACTTTGGTAAACACAAACAATTTATTACCATTCATCCGGTTTTTTTTATTACGAGTACTAATCTTTGTTATCGCGGTGATCAATTGCGCAGCACGTTCATAAAAGATCTTGTAAATCGACGAATTGATTCAATCGATTGAGAGCAGTACAAAACGATGTCGTGATCGAAATATCCGTTTCTTTGAAAAAAAAGCCTGCGAACATCGACCACTTGTAATATGGCGGACGAGCACAACAGTACCGACGAGTCAGATTCAGAGAGTCCAAGTGAATTGCACGGAATCCTTCAAAAGTGGACTAATTACATACATGGTTGGCAAGATAGATATATTGTATTGAAAAATGGTACTTTATCTTATTACAAAAGTGAACAGGAATTAGGTTATGGATGTAGGGGTGCCTTGTTATTGGCAAAAGCAACTATCAAGGTAGGCTATGGCTGTTTAATTTTCTTTTTTTTTTTTTGACATTTGTCTTTGACGTTTCTACAACAATAAAGACAAATAGAGTAGATCTATAAATATTATTTAAAATAATAATTTTATTTTTTTAGCCTCATGAATTCGATGAATGTCGTTTTGATGTTTCTGTTAATGATTGTGTTTGGTATTTAAGAACCGATAATCTTGAAACGAAGCAACTTTGGGTGGATGCTTTAGAATCATACAAGGTAATTATCTATTTAAATAAATTTAGTTATCTACATGAATACATAAATGATGTAATACTTATTAAAGCATTTTATGACATTGATTTTATTGTTGCGATTCTTTAATTTGGTTGATTATCAAATGACATAACCTTACTTTATTGTTGGTCAAATTGGTAACTAAGGCAATTTAAATTTGAAGGTTATTTAAATTAAAAGCATTTCAATGTAACGATTTAAATAAAATCGATTCAAAAACATACATAATTTGAATTCTTTGTCTAAAATAAAATAATTTTTTTGATAATATTTTTACAGGCTGAATCAGGTTATGGTACAGGTTCTGAAAACAGTTTAAAACGCCATGGCTCGAGTGTTAGTTTACAATCAAATTCGTTCAGTACAGCATCAACAAATAGTTTTAAGAAGACTGGAAGAAATTTGCGCGAAAAATTGGCCGAGTTAGATACCTTCAAAGATATTTTATCGGGACAAGTTGATGTGTTACAACAATTTTTTGATACCTGCGCTGATTCGGCTGAAAAAAATGGATTTAATGTTAATGCAGACATTGATAATGCCAAAAGTAAATTTAAAAAATATGATTTTAATCATAAATTAATTTATTTTGTGTAGAATCCTTGCCAGATATCGATTTTAAGGGAGAAGCAATTACGTTTAGGACTACCACAGCGGCTGTTTTAGATACTCTTGCCCATTGCGTTGATTTGGTGATGCAACGTGAAGAATCATGGCGGAAACGCCTTGAGAAAGAAACTGAAAGACGGCGAAAAGCTGAAAGAGTTTCCAAAAGTTATTTTGAACAGTTGCAGAAAGCTAGAAATGTTCATCCTGGGCCAGATTTAGAGGTAAACATTTTTATTTTATTGCTTTATTATCTAGTTCTAAAAGTAAAGAAATATACTATTTGTTTTGATAAGTTTATTTATTCACTAAATATGAGATTTTAATCTAATGGTTGTTGGTTTTGCATACTATGAGTCACCTATCAACTAAAAAATATCCTACCAAGTTGACTTATTAGATTTTGAATTCCTTGAAATGTCAATTTTTATAGATATCTCTTTTATAATTATAATTTTTTGATATGTCTTGTCATGTTTAATTTCGTTCTAAATGAGTTTGGGAATAGATTTTTTGTTAAAGTTAAGACAAAATTACGACAGAGCAATGTAAGTTTCTTTTTTATTCCTTATCTTATAAAATTTCACACTTTCTACTCTCATTTATTAACAATTATATTTCGTGTCTTATTAACAATTTCAATTAATTCTCGTTCTAATTAAAATTTACTACATATATTTTTTATATTATAACATTTTTCAGTTGAAGTTCTAAAGCGGAACAAAAAATTTTTAATTAGCTGCTAGAAAGTAATAATAATTCCCCGTCTGTATATTCTAAAATACAATTAAATATATTTCAAATAATATAGATAAAAGTCCATGAATATCAAACCTGAATACACAACTACATTAAAGTTAAGTAGAATCCAATTGGCTCAATAGATCAATCAAGGAATTTTACACTTCTAAGATGGAGAACTATCTTAATCCATTATTTATTACACAGGCCTGGATCCAAAAAAATTTTTTGAAATTGAATGGCGATCTTTATTAATTTTTGGGTGCTGAATTCGGGAAAAATAATGAAAAATTTCCATCACCCTTAATTTTTTTTAGCAAATTTAATTTTTTTTAGATGTCTCACAAATTTTAAGTTGAATTACGTCGGCATTACGCGTTTTCCTATATCCTTTGATTATAATAAAAGGAAATAGGACAATTCTCCCAACAATTTTTGTTACATTTGTGGTGAACTTGTCATTAAAAAACACCAGAAAACGTTACAGACTTTGTTAGGAAAGTGTATTCCTACTCCTATTTCAGTGTGAGTCTTGGGGGCCCAATCATAGGCACTTCACAAACTGTGTTATATTTGTGTAGTCATGAGGTAAAAAAATGATTCAAATTTGGCATTCTGATGGTGTAGAGGGAACCAAAAATCGCAGTGATGACTGTTATTTTTGCTACTATGATTTTAATCGTTATAACTCTAAGAATAAAAGAGATAAAGTGTACCAGAACCTTCCTCTGCAATGTGATCTGTAGCTCATGGACCAGATGCGCTTGTACCTCAGCCTCCAGCAACGCTAGGTGAGATGAGCTCTAGTGAATCTGATGTGAATTAAGACGACTGTGATTTCCAAGACCCTTCAGATTATGCCACCCCACAACTTTTCCCTCACTCTGAGCTTGATGATTTGGTAAGACTTTGGACTTACCAAGGAGAATGCTAAACTCTTGGGTTCTAGACTAAAAGAAAAAAAGCTACTGGCTGCTGGAACATCTTTTTATCAGTACAGATTTAGAGATCGTGAATTTACTGACTATTTCAAACAAGAAGGCGAGTTGGTCTACTGTTGTGATGTTCCTGGTTTGGTTTAAAAGTTTGAAATTGAATACAAAACTGTTAAATGGAGGATTTTCATTGATTCTTCAAAAAGAAGCCTGAAGGCTGTACTTCTGCATATGGTAACACATATGCTTCGTTTTCCTCTAAGGCATTCTGTACACTTACGAAAATTACGAGAATTTGAAAGAGTTGCTAAATAAAATTAAGTATACAGATCATAACTGGATAGTTTATGGCGACCTGAAAGTTTTATGCATGAGCAAGGAATGAACACTGTACTAGAAAAGTATGACCAACCCAACAAACATTGGGGCCAGGTGAAAAGAACGTTTTCCACAAAGCTTTAGTCGATCCTAGAAATATTTGTGTTTCCCCTCTTCACATCAAGTTAGGACTCGTCAAAACTTTACCCAACACTGGTGACTACTTTCAATACCTCTGCACAGTTTCCACATTTGTCAGAGGCGAAACTAAAAGAAGGAATTTTTGTGGGTCCTGACATACGTATACTAATACTTGATGAGAAATTTCGGTACACAATGTCAGGTATTGAGCTCGGAATGCTTTCAAAAAGGTGATCATTAGATTTTTAGGGAATGATTAAGACCCTAACTATATCAGCATTGTCGATGATTTTCTCAAAAAAATGGAAAATCTTGGCTGCCTGATGAGCAAAAAAGTTCACTTTCTACATTCTTATTTGGATTTTTTCCCTGAAAACTTGGATAGTACCAGTGAAGAGCAAGGTCGCCGTTTCCATCAGAATATTAAGGTCATGGAGAGGAGATATCAGGGTAGTTGGAACGTCAGTATGATGGGTGTTACTCACAAGAGGAAAAGTAACAGTCTTATTCATACCAGTTAGTTTCAGATTATTGTGTTGAGATGCGGAAAAACGGTGGGCGATGGGAAAAAACTGCTATCATTTTCGGAATCAGCACCTTTCAAAACTGTTAATCACCCTAAATAATCTAAAAAGTTTTATTGAAATTAATTTTTACAGGCCTGTGTTATTTATCTTAATTAGGAAAGCTTTATATTGACAAGCTTTTGATTTGTTATATGCCATCACGTTAAATAAAATAGAGAATCCTTGTGGTCGGGGTTTTCTTACATCTGTTATCGTTCTATTCAATTCCATTCTTGTTTTCTTATATTCTAAGTTTCAGTAACATCTGAAGCTCTTTTGGTTTTTCTAGGTGAGCATTTTCATTTAGTTTCTTGCTATTATGTCTGTTCCTTCGCCCTGCTTACTCTAGTTAGGGGCTTTACAAGACGCCTGTTACTGAATGAGATACTATGGCAGCGCCACTGGAGGTTGTATGGTCTTTTCAAAGAATCTTCTGTTAATATGTCCTGGATTATTCTATACTTTTATGAAATTTGTGAAATACACATGGTTGTAAAATACTCAGATGTATACACTATACAATATAAACTTCTAGAATATATAAAAGTATGATGCAAGAATATTTAAAAGAAATAAACGAAATTTTGGATAAAAAACGAACATTTTATTCCAATTGTGATCTGTTATCCAGTGAATGCAAAGATACCTATATTATCAATAATTTTTCTAATATTGTTAAAAATACCAAACGTGGTCTAAGTATGCAATGATATAAACATATTTGCAATGTGTACAAATTGAACGAAGCTTTTTTATAAGTCCAATAATATTGAAAAAAAGAAAGACATTGTGAACATACTCTGAATGCAAATCGACACTAGATATCAATAATACCAATTCCAGAGAGATAAAAGCTATGAAAAGTCACTTACATGCCGAAATAAAAAAAAATTGTAAAACCTATTATTATTCAATTTCAGCTTTGTCTAAAGTTTTTTGAAATAGGGTTAAGAACTAATTTTTTGAAATTCTTAAATGCACAAAAAGTTTTTTTTTGAACAGATACTTTGAAAGCTAGTCAATAGTTAGTAAAGCGGTTCAGTACATAGTCATTATAAATAGATTGCAAATATTAATTACATACTATGTAGTAATTTATCAAAAGCGTTTGAGTGTTGAACCATAATAATAATTTTCGAAAACTCTTGCATTAAGGATCTTACATGAGTGTTATTCAAGTTTTATTTTTTCACGGGTTGTGGAATAATGATTTTGGATCTATAAACCAGTTGTCATAAGCAGTTACAAAGACTATGCCTCTACGCGACCAATACCAATATTTGTGTGACATTGAAAACTATGTCGAATACAAATGATTGATGAATGGTGTGGTAGCAATGAAGAAGAAGAAGTCAGAGTTATTGCTGATCAATGTAAAATATCTCAAACACCCTCAAAGGTGATACTGATAGCAGAAGAATATGTATCATGGAAGGAATGTCTGGAAGAATGAAAATTATTTACCAATTGTAATATCTCTGTATACTTTGTCTCTTGTACTATATGTTTGTGTTTACAGGTCGTTGAAAGTCAATGACATGCGCGTTTGTAGGCCACTCTGAATTATTTGGCTATACATTTATTTGAGTTACGTGAATGTTAATGATATTCTACTATTTTAATAATTATGATATATGAAAATTAAACTATCAAAGGCAACGACACGCAGTGGCTTTCTCTGTTCTTCTAAATGAATTATTTGAATTACTTAGGGAAGTGCAAGAAGTTTACAATGTATTATTAATTGACCATGTCATCATGCTTGCTAATCAACAAAACAGTGTACTTGGCGGCGTATGCCGACGACATAAACATAATGAGCCGAACAGTAAGTGCGGCAGAGGGAGCGTATGGAATGCTGAAGGATGGTGCTGAAGCGGTGGGGCTTAGGATCAACATAGAGAAAACAAAGTTACTGCTACAAACGAGGAGCAACATTAGTATCGAGACAGCGATAAATGACAACAGAGAAGCGGTGCCTCACTTTATATACCTTGGTGTAGAATTATCTAGGCTGAGTACAGAGGAAGAAGAAGTCAAAAGGAGATTAATCCTGGCCGATAGAGTGTGTTTTGCATTGACAGGTTGTAAGCTATAGGAGTGAGGCATGGACGCTGACGCAAAAAACGAATGTCTTCGAGAAAAGGATCTTGTGGAGAATATTTGGACCAGTTTGGGAAGAGGATGGATGGAGATCAAGGTACAACCGCGAGTTGTATGAGATTTATAAAGACCCGCCATTGGCACAGTTCGTCAGACTGTAACGCCTAAGATGGGCTGGCCACGTGATCAGAATGGGAGAAGAGAGAGTGCCAGGACTACTGATCGGTAGAAGAATGCAGGGAGTGAAACCGAGGGAGATTGAGATGGCGGGAAGTAGTCGACCGGGACGCTAGAGAGATGCTTAGGAGTTGGAGGAGAGAGGCCAGGGACAGGAATGAATGGAGGCTGAGGGAGATCAAGGCTCGATACGAGCTGTAGAGCCATAGATGAATGAATGTCATCATGCCAATCATCAATATAACTGCGAGATATTATTACAGTTAAAATTCCCGCTATTTTATTTGGCCAAACTTCTTTCATCTCACCATAACCTGTTATATTCTTTCTCACATACTGAAATTTCATTTGTTGATCTATTACTTGACCATCGATAATGTATGACTTCAGCATACAGTGTTCTTTAGATGTGGTCATACATTTTGTTTTTTCTGCGGAAATTTTCATGTTACATCTCCTCCCTGTTGTGTCAAAAATATGTGAAAGTCTTTGAAGATCATTTTAATTTTCTGCAAAGAGCACAGCATTATTATATTATTCAAATTTCTTCATCGCCTCTTCTATATCATCTACCACGTCTTACTTGTTTTATTATTTCGTCCATGACTATATTAAACAGTGGTGGACTTAAAGAATCACCAAGGATGCCACTGTTTATTGTTGTTTGTTGATTTACCGTTGATTCTTGCTTGTATGTTACAATTCGCATATATCTTCTATTTTCAGTATTATATTGACTAATATATCTCTATTATAATTATTATAACAAGTACGTTACAAGTTGAAGCATGACACAGTCAAATACTTTTTTAAGATCTATGAAATACAGATAGGCAAGTTTATTATACTCAATACTCTTTTCAACCACTTGACGCAGGATGAATACTGCATCAATGCATGATCTTCCATATTGAAATCCTTGTTGTTAGACAGCAAGTAAAGTGAGTTTGTTAATTTTATTCGTTATAACTTTCGTTGTTAATTTCAGTGCTGTTTCTAATAAATGTATACCATGATAGTTCTCTGGATCCTGTCTGTCACCTTTCTTAAACATGAACCAAGAATTATGTACTACTTTTCCTAGTTTTGCATTTTACTTTGTTTGCCATATTCAACTTTATTTCCTAAAAACTCTTATGCAATTGAATATTGTTCAAGTTTTTCAATGAAAAAAGAACAAAACTTACTGACAATAGGTGGTGGACAATATTGAACATTTTTTATAATCGTTTTACATTTGACACACACTCAAATTACATGCAAGTCAAAGTAACATTCTTGTTGAGTCTTAACATTCTTGTTAACATATTTATATAACATTTTTATTTAATAGTTTTATCAAAAATACTCCAAATTAATCATATGAACTATTTAATTTTCAAAAAAAAATTACAACACTAAGTTCGAACTAAAATGTTATGTAACATTATTACAATTTAAAAACCTCAAACTATTCTTAATGAACCATTATTATTACGAAATAAAGTGAACTTCTTTTTTATTATAAATAATTCATAGCACATCAATTCTGCGCCCCCTCCCTCCTTTAATTTTAAAATTGTCTCGTAACAGTCCCCCTTTACAACATCAAAAACCATCGACATAAAAAAAAAAGAAAATTCACTCGCCTATGAAGCGTATTTTATTTTATTTTTTTTGTGTGGAGTTTATCGGGGTAAATCGTGACCGGACTTATCAAAGAGTTCTTTATAAAAGTGGAGGAGGAGGTTATAAAGCGCGTCCAAATTAGAACGAGCGCGACAACTTAACCAGACCCACATCGACGAATAAAATCGTTAGTCGCGTTTTGAGTTCGTTTAGAAACGTGTCGATCAGAATTCATTAAATATAAAGTTTTTAAAGTCCCAAAAAAATAAAAAACTAACATTTTCACTTTGTTTTTGTGGAATATCTTAATTTAAAACGGTTAAACTAAAAGCTTTTATTAAATAACTTCAGTTAAAGAATTTAATTTGAAGACTTTTTAAGCAAAGTGAAATGACAGCAGAAATTTGTACCTCTAAGTTTTCAAAGTTGATTAAAAAAGTTTTTAAAGTGAGTATTCTTTAAATCAGATGTTGTAAATTAATTGAGCAATGATTTTCTTATCAGTTTTTATGTCTGGGTGAATACAAAGATCAATACAAATAAAAAAATATGTATATAGGAAAAAAATTAATCGATGTTTTCTACTTTTTTAATGTTATTTTAAAATTGAAAATCTTTATTTAACGTTTTATATTGCTCAAATTTAACAGTTAACACTATAAGATTGATATCAATTTTTAAAACATTTTTGCTTGTTATAAATTCATTTTAATATGTTTATATTTTCTCTTTGTTTTGTCTTAACTCGTATTTTTTTTCGATTTTAACATTTGAATACATTCCCAGAAATCAATTAAAACTGTTTAACGTTACCATACTAACAAGTTTAATAACATTTTTAAAAGTTAGTACTCATTGTTGTTTGTTTTTTCAACTACTCGCTCAGTACTTTTTAGGAATAATGCGTTAATTTCAAATGCCTTGGCGTTAACGCTAATTCGAAGCACGTACCATAAAAGGCACTCGATTTCGATTAAATTTAGAGCTCATTGTTGTTGTTTTTACGCTAAGGTTAATTAACTCCAAATTCCTTTTTGAAAAATTAAACCGATTTAATTCTCGAACTGTGTTCCTTAAAAAGAATTAGTAAGGACACAAAAATTGTGAATTTGAAATAATCAGTTTATTACTCATTATTATTTTTAAGACTTTTTGGAAATGTTGTTACTATTCATGTTTGAATGAATCATGTTAAGATACCATTGCATTTACGTGTTTTTTTTATAATTTATAAGGAACTTGTTATGTTATGTTAATCATCATTGCTAAAAGCAGTTCATTAATGATAAGTAAATAGCTACAATCTCTTGTAATATAAGAATAAACTCTATGGGTTAAATCCATAATACATAGTCTAAGAAAAAAAATTACACAAAGATTAAAATAAGCCTTTTTTTTGTTAATTTTATTTTAGGAAGGACCTCATAGTGTAATAGCAGATGATGAATTTTATGATGCCGTTGAAAGCGGTTTGGATAAAATTGAGGAAGAGCAAGATTTCCGAGAACGTCTTAAAACAGGAAGGGCAGTCCCCCCATCTCCTCCACCAACAGTTTCGCCAGCTGCTCATCATCGGCTCTGGTGCGAAATCGACCAATTAACAAGGCAAGAAGTTGCGATGGCAAAACTAGGTGTAGGGGAATGTGGCGGACCTGGATGGCAATTATTCGCCGAAGATGGTGAAATGCGTATGTATAGACGCGAAGAGGAAGTGGATGGGATGGTTGTTGATCCTCTAAAAGCGGTTCACGTGGTTAAAGGGTTTACCGGTCGGGAAATTTGTCATTATTTTTTTAGTCCCCAATATAGATATGAATGGGAAAGTAAGTTATTATTAAAACAATATTTTTTTTTGTTATAAATATTTTTTATTTAGCTACATTAGAGCATATGCAAGTTGTTGAAACGATAGCGGACGATACTTTAATATTTTTGCAAACGCACAAAAGAATTTGGCCGGCTAGTCAAAGAGATTGTTTGTTTTGGTCGCATTTAAGGATGATGCCCAATGATCAGGACTCGGAAGGACCATGTGTGTGGGCTGTTGTTAATCATTCGACTGAATTACCTGATTTTCCGGTAAGTTTGATGGACCAAAGTATAATATTTTTTGATAAAAAAATAATTAAATATCTTTTTTTGTACATTCTTTGTCGCAGGACATGAATTATTCATGAGAATAAAATTATCAAATTAATTATTAAATATTAATGTTTCATCAATTTCTTTTTATTAGGCCAACACAGGAAAGTGTTTACGATTAACTGTAACAGTAACACTTCTTGCCCAAACACGGATAGATCCTCCAAAGGATGGTTCGCCAATTACAAGAGATAATATTTCTTGTAAAATTACATATTGTTCTCAAGGTAATTTATATTGACTTTAAATTTTTTTGATTAAAATTTATCTTTTATAACAATTTAGTAAATCCTGGTGGGTGGGCACCAGCTTCTGTATTAAGAGCAGTGTACAAAAGAGAATATCCAAAGTTTTTGAAACGATTCACGGCGTACGTCATAAATCAGACTAAAAATAAGCCGATAATGTTTTAGCAGTAAGGTCAGGGTTTAAGTGATAATTAAAAAAAGAAGGTTTTTTATATTCACTGTTTTTTTTTTATTTTTAATTTTTTGACTATTAATTAGCTGTGGTTAAACACCCTTCCAAACGTTACTACTGTTTTATTTTATTTTTTTATTATATTAATATATATTATATATTATTATTAAAAAACATGCTACAAGTTTTTAAGGAAAATTGTTTGATTATTCAAAAATATGCGAATTATCTCCGTCCTTTTTGTTATTTGTTTTTAAATTTTTATTGATTTTTTTAATGATTTTTAAGTAACCACGAAAACTACCTCAGTTCTCTATAAAAATAATCGACATCGAATTTTTATTTCTCAAAAAAAAAAAATTGTTTTGGTCATCAAGAAAATTAGATAATTAAAATTAATTATTAAAAATAAAAAAATAAACTATATTTAAAAGGGCCTTAATGTGTGATGTTATTAAAAAATTAGTTAATTTATCTAATAAAAAATATATATGCAATGTTTGTGCAATGTTGTTTAAGCTTTTAAAATTTTAAAGTATTAATTCTTGAGCACCAATTATTACTAAAATAATTGAAGCCCTTGGTGTAAAAAGATTTAAATTTATATTTTTATCATCCCATCTTTGTTTATTAAATAATCTTAAATGGAAGACCATTAGAAATTGTTTATTAAGTTATGTAAATCAGATTATGTTTAATTAAGATTTTACAATTATTGAAGTTTTCGAAATTTAATATTCTATTGTTTCCTATGAGATATTACCTCCTTAACGTCTAGATGAACTTAATGTTTTTGATTAGTAAGAATTTACATTCAGTTGTTATTAAAATTGTCACTATTAAATTTTTGGTCCTCTACTCAATGGTACATTTTATTTTGATATTCACACAGAAACGCATACGCTTGGCGAACGTAGCCACCGTGGCGGAGAGGGATTTGACGTCAAGATCGTCCCATGCCTTCTAAAGGGCTTCAGACTGTCGAGATTCTTGTAGGGAGTAGCACAGGTCTTGCTCTTAATTACCGACGTAAAAATCGAGGGAGTCCTGTTGGAATGTCCTTTGAAATGAGACTGACTCCAAGGAAGTACTTCCTTCATCAGAATCGCATCAAGGTATTTCTGGGAGTTGATCTTGACCCCTTGATTGATCCATAAAAATCAGAGATGTCTTCCCAGTCGAAGTCACTCTGGTCCAAACCATTATGCATCTGCAGAAAGATCATTGATTGTCTGAAATAATAATATGGATCTTGTCGTCTTCCTCAAGTTGATAATTGATTGAATTATAAAAGTTGTGAGACCAAAAGCAGGATAATCAACAGACAATGAAGTAGCAACAAAAGAGCGAACAATGAAGATGATTTGCAATGATTAGTCCATCAGTTCAACATCAGTGGCAAACGACATAATATGGAGATATGAAAACAAAAAGCTAATTGTATCGTGATAATTAAAGAATCAACACGTAAGATACAAATGGACGATGCAATAATAGAACAGGTGATGCGCTATAAATACTTTGATGTTGACGTAAGGAGTAACCAGAATATTGTCGAAGACACAAGAACCTAAATTGTAAGAGCAATATTTAAAGCATATACAAGGTCATCCACGACGACCGTCTATTACAACTATATAGAGAATCAAAAAATGAAGTGGGGGTTTGAAAATTTGTGTACTTATTATGTTTGCTACGATCTCTTTAACTAAAATATGTTCATTTTCCGATTATTTTTAGTTACACCGGAAGTGGTGTCAATTTTCACATTTCAAATGGAACACCCTGTATTTTATTACATTTTTTAAACCTTTGTTCAATTTTAGGCTAATTATATGTTATATACCATATAACTAAGTTGAGTCATTTTAGAGATATTAATTTTTTTTGAAAAATTTAAATTTTTTGTATAAATGGTTAGAATTTCTTAATTTTTTTTTTTTTGAAAAATTTAATTATCGTCGTGGATGACCTTGTATAAAATCGGTATTGATATCGAAACTAAAACAGAAACGAAAGGAACAAAGCAGAAAGCAAAGACAACTGAAATGAAGGTGCACAGAAAGATATTGGACGTGACACAGAAATAGATAAACTAGTAAATCAATCAGGAAAAAATGTAATGTATATACAAGACGTGGTCAAGTGATATTATTAGACAAGAAAAAGGAAATAGAAGGAGCAAATAGCGAGAATGGATGAGGACCCAAAGAGATGCATCTAAAGTTGGTTATCGTCGTCTGCATAATGAAAAGATGCAAGACAAACAGGGACTATGCCTAGTCGAACAAAGAAGAAGATTGATGTTGTTGCATGTTTTTTTTGTTTGTTTTTGGAGGCGGTCAGTAATATTCTGCATTCGAGTTAAAATTATAGGCTGATTATTATGTAATATCATCTTTAGTTTCGCTTTCAATTTCCAAGTTTACCAAATTGGCTTCTTATATTTCTGCCTAAAATTTTAATCGATTTTTTTCCTCTTCCCAAAACAACATGATAGTTATAGATGAAAATGGAAATCAAACCTGACTAAAACTGAACACATGTTCAAATAAAACTGTTTTGGTTTATGACACATACTATTTATAAATAATGGTTATAAAGAAGCAGCTATATATAAATTGTCGAATTTAATTCATTTCTCAGTGTCAATATTGTATCTCTTGCCTCCTTCCTGTTCAGAAATAATGAGCAATTGTGGTTATCTATCTCGTCAACCACATCTTTCAAGGTCTTCATACTTTAGGGACTAGCTCTGTTTTTTCATTTCTCCTGTTCATATTTTTTCTTCCCACTTCTGTTCCTATGGATTGTATCTTGTGATAACAACATCCAACTTTCATGTCAGCGATTATGTGGTCTTTTTGCGAGTCGCCTGGTGCCTGGTTTTTGTGTTTGGATTTTCTCTGCCAATCTTTCCTCACCTATTCTTTCAACATGATCCCTCTAGTATTTTCTTTTCGATCTTGTCCATCTGACCACATCCTGTACCTCGTACATTTCGTGGATTTCTCGTTTATTGCCCTGTTTCGCAGGCTTAAGCCTGTAATTGTCTTAGGGTTCTCATCTCTGTGACTCACATGCCTTGTTTGGTTGTTATTGTCTTAGCTGCGTATGTTAGCAATGGTCATACACAGGTTTTAGAGATCTTTAATTTGCTTTTTACCGTCATGTGTTAGTTTCACCATATGATGTCCCGTAGGCAACCAGATATTACTGTGGCTTTGGTTGCTTGTGGTTTCATCTTTCAAGATGTCACAAGCAATTTAGCCACAAAAGTATCAAATGTCAAATATTTTATAATTAAATGGTAATAACTCAAAACCCGCTGCATTCTTGACTACAAAGTTCGCGTTTCCCAATATAAGATATAACTTTCATTCAGTTTCATCAGTTTCTAACATAACTTTCGAATCGGGTTCGTTCTTACGAAATGATTCCTAAACATAATCTTATTAATCATCAGATACAACCTTAAACCCATACACATAAGATGGATTTCAACAAATAAAGCATAAAGCGAGGTTGAGGTATCTCCATATTATCTAAGGTGATTTAGGTAGTACTAGTAGTTTTTTTATTTCTGAATGTTTTTGTTCTCTAAAAAAAAATTGTTTCTATTTACACCAAGGGCTTTAATTTGACTTGCAAAATTGTTTTTATAAAGTGTTACAATTGAATTAAAATATTTAATTGTAGCAATTTGTAAATAGTTTGGAATATTAAAATCAAAAATTACAATTGAATATGATTTTATAAAAATAAAAAGAATATTGATGTTGACTTCACGAAATGTTTTTTTTATTTAAATGATATGTGTAAATAAAAGAATATATCTATATAAAGAAAGAAATTAATTAATTATGTATATGTACGCTACCGTCCAGAAATATTTGAACCAAAAAAAATTAAATAAAAGTAAAAGAAATTATTATTTATAGTAAAAATGATAAATAAAAGTTGTTCAAATATAAATAGGGGGTAGTTTGTGTGTAGATTTTCGTTTTGGTTTGTAAAAACCAAAAAACCTATATCTTTTAAAAAAAATAATGAGGGATATAAAAAATGAGAATTTTTGATATTGCTTGTAGATGTTGTAAAAATCATTTTGATAATAAAAACTATTATTTACATTTATTGTTATGAATTTGCTACAAAAACCATAACTATTTATTTATCCAGTTGAAATTTGATACAAATTTTAATTTCTATTAAATTATTTTTATTGTTGAAACTTTCGATAATAAATTTAATAATTATTTAAAATTTTCTAATGTATTCCTTCTAATGGCGTAAACGTCTTGTATTGATACAACTTATTATCTCCATATCCATACAAAAGTCTTCCTACACCATTTTTATCGTAATAAGGGTATCTATATTTCGGTCTAAAAAAGCAAATTAATTTTTTTTTTAATTTTCTAATCATAATAAATTTACCTTTCAAAATATTGAAAATTAGGTGCTTTTGGCGTTAAAGTTGCAACCGCAAATTGCACAACAACCATAAAAGCAACCTAAAAAATGTTTTTTAAGCAAGATAAGCCAATATTGATTTATTTACTACACAAACTCACCAAATATATTAAAAATTTCATTATTTCTTTTTGAACTTTTACACAGTACTTTTACTTTCACTGGAGTCAATTTCAATACTAACGGCCTGAACTTGACGTAAGATTACGTTTTAGTTTGAAAGAGAAAGTTTTTTAGTTCTCCCTCCAGCAAAAAATAGAAAGTCAATGCCATATTAAGTTCTTGAGTATGCATTTTTATATTTATTTATTTCTATAATAAACTTAATTTATTGCATCATTAAAGTTTAAAAAAATTAAGTTATTAAATTAGTTATTTTGAGTTATTAAAATAAATCTTTATTTACTTTTCTTAATTTTTATTGAGATGGTATATTCATTGACATAAAAAATTATCAACAAAATTTCTTTTTTTATTTAAATAACATAAATTGTTGATTACCTAACAACCCCACCCAATATAACAACTTTCACTTCGTTTGAATCCGGTCGACCGTTTTAAAACCATTTAATTCATAATGTAAAACACTAAGAAACACGCTAAAGAAACTATTCTATTCAATTTCACGACAATGAACTTGATGTTTAAGGTAAGCAATTTTTATTTATTTACATTTCTTATAAACATTTAATTTTTATCCCATAGATAATTATATTAATTTCCTTATTTTTAATTGTTTCATCAAATCCAATTAATTTGGTGAAAGATCTCGTTCAATTTAACGTTTTCGGGCACCCTTTTCTACACAAAGACTCCAAGTGGGATTTTGATCCAGAAGCGGGACATCGAAGATCGAGACAATACCAAGAAATTAATGGTTACCATGGAGAAAAAGCCATAGAAAGATTGGGTTTGGGAATAGACGGTTATGATTTAGAACGATTAGAGAAGCAACGAGAAAGGGATAAAGGACAATTAGGTGGTGTTAACTACATAACAAAAGAGTTTTTATAAATTAATATTGTATAATATAAAATAAGAAATAAATAAGTTTTTGTTTGATCGATAAATCAATAAAAAGTGTTTCATTGTTTTTTTGTAGCGATTTTTAAAAAGGGGTGAAATGGATAATTGCTGTAGTTTTAATTCCATTTTTAGTGGAATTATATCCGAAGAAAGGTAAGTCAATAAAAAAACGATTCGTAAATAAAATAACATTTTAATCTTTAGTAGTACTTCATTTGAAGATGATTCTCCATTTATTTGGTTTAAATTGTTAAGAAAAATTAATGACTTTTATTTAGATGCACTTCATGCGACTTTTAAAGAAAAATGTTACATTTTTGATCCGAAAAAAATTAATCTTGAAAATGGATTGAATAAAGAAGAGTTTATAAAAGCAATTGATGAAGTTTTCGGTGAATTTTAATTAATTTTAACAATTTTAATTTAAATAAATTTTTATTTAAGGTGAATCAAAATATACCGCGGAATCAATTGCGATTTTCAATGAAATCGATAACAATGAAAAAGGAGAAATAACGTGGGAGGAGTTTTTAGATTTTTCTGAAAAACAACTTCGACATACAGTTGAAGCTAAATTAGTTTTAGGAGAACCCAAAGTTATTTGTTGTCCTCATTTAAAAGTAAGCAATTTTTTATAGTATTAAACTTTTACAAAATACTTATAAATTCCTCTATTTTTCATATCTATTTAACTTCCAGCTACTAGTTCAAGAACCATTGAATATTTATGCAGCAATTTTGTATACTTTCTATTTCAGTACCTACTCTTATCTTTTCTACAAATGAAAATTAACATCTCAACTTTTAGAGGTCTACAGTTTTTCCAAGTTACTAATTTATGTTGTATGAATGTAAGTTATATACAAGCAAATGATCTGATGGAGACAGAATCAGGACCATCAAATGCTTGTTTGTAAAAATTATGGGTTAGTTCTAAAACAAGGAAATTGCTTATTCAATAGGGACATCATTGATTGTTCCTTTTCCTAGATATGTTGCTCCTAAAGAATTAAAAACTAGTTATAGTCATACAAAATGTGCATACAAAAGAAAATATGATGGCCGAAAATGTACGAAACTGCAACAGCGTACGGCTAATAATTTTTCTAATTTTGAATTTTGAAAACACCTTTATTTTTATGACTTCAACATTTTGGTTTTATCCGTATCCAGAAATTGCTGCAAGCTAAATCTGAACTATCGAATAACTCTTTTCAGGACTACAGATTTCTAGACTTTCCAAGTTGTTAGGACGATTTTTAGAGACCTCGACTTTGAGATAATCCCAGAGAAAAAAAATGGAGAAATCAAATCTGGCATAACCCATAAATATACTCTCTAAAGGATATCAAGTGTCCAGAAAGCTATATCGCTCGTCACCCCGTCCTGGTGAAACCATTCCCTAAATGAAGTCCTTCAAGGGCTGGTGTAAAAATATTCCGAATTATGTTCATATATCAATCAAAATTTGCCAAAATCGTACGATATACTACAATGCTGTCACACGATTACTATGATAAGAGCTCTGCTGGATTTTCCATGGATTATGGTGTTACTACAATAACGTAGGTTCTCTATCAATCCTCTGTCATTCTGCTAAAATGATCTCACCAATCCTTCTTCGCTTTTTAGTCCATCTAACAATATCCCGATGTGTGTCTGACGTATTAGTTTCGATGTCCCTTAAAGTGTTAAAAGATTTTTCATCGTTCTTAGTCCGTTGGCCGGTTTTATGTATGTTGTGTTACTACTTATCAATTCTTTAATAGTTTCTAGAATGTCTGTCTACATTTCTCTTCATCAATAGTTCTAGTACATCAGTAAAGCATCAGTAGCCTCACCTTGTCGAAAGTTTAGGTGAGCTACTTTGTCGAGTGCAATAGATTTTTCTGTGCTCTGAAGTATGAATATGGACATCAACATATAAATGTTGACCAATTTTGTCGGAACCCCTGTTGTTCTTCGCTAATTCCTATGTATGACATTTCGTCGCCTATTATACAGAGTGCTCTAAAATTTTTCTTACAAACTTTTAGGACTTGTAGAGGGGACTAAGTATTTTGATGTGGCAATGATGTTCTGGTAAACTCGCTTCGTCACACCTGGTGTATCTGCAATCTGTTCTGCAGCGACCACAACCCCAGATCTTCTTTTGTCAGGGGTCAACTCTTCATGTCCAATAGAGTTAAATCCGGAAATCGTGGAGACCATTGCGATTAGACCACCTTGGCCTACCCATCTTTATCTGATTAGTCGGTCAGATGTTCATGAACATGAAGTGAAAAGAGGGTGCGCCGTCATGCTGAAACCACATGTGTTGACGGACGTTCCAATGCACAGCATCAAACAACACGTCCAATACTTGTTGTAGGAGGTTCAACTAGATAGGGCCCGTTACCCTGGATGGAAAAATGTACGGTCCAATCACATGACCATCTAAAATACCTGCCCACACATTGATAACAAATTTATGTTGGAATCCCAAGACACTCGTGGCATGATGGTTTTCGTCTGTCCAGACATAGCTGTTTTGAGAATTGAGGACAAAATCCCTAGTAAAATGACATTCCTTTGTGAAGATTGCGCCGTGGAAATAGGGCTCCTTGGTGCAGCGATCCAGAAACCACGTACAGAAATGTGTGCCAACGTGTGCTACAAAATCGGCTGGCAGTAATGAATGTATCCTTTCGAGATGGTATGGAGGTTGTTGTTCATGCAGAACATTGCTCGTGTACTCGTTGACAAGTTTTTTTCAACGTGATGCAGTATGCTTCATCCAATTCGCGAGTGTGGCGTCTCTGGAAGATGACGCAAATCTTTTATTACTTCGAGTTTCGCCATATAGAAGGATCATATCCATGTATTCTGCAAACGTGTACTCAACTCTAACACTGAAAGACACGTGAGACTCAAACCAACTCCGAGAGGTAGGAGACGTCAATTGACATCATCTCATCTGACGCACCCTACGTCATGTAACTAAGCAAAACCTGTTTTCAAACGGAGTCCTAGAAGTTTGTAAGAATAATATTAGACCAGCCGCTATATTGTCTTTATCGTTAGTTTTGGTATTGAGGTCAGTTTAGGTTTATTTCTCGATAATAGCCGGGGAAACCCTTGTTTATCTTCTTAATTGTATGTCATCGTCACACTCTGTGTTCATTCTTGTGGAATTTGCTGGCGAGATAGTATCTTGTTTCCTCCTTTTTTTATTTTTAACCGAAAACCGACAACAGCGGTGTTAGGCTACTCAATATGTAGGCGAACCTAAATAATTTACTTACGATTAGATATAACAACTCAACTATGCCGATCACATCATTGTCTCAATTCATGAACAAGCTTATATGGATGAAACAGACATCTACGATCAGAGAATCAAAGCTCAATCTTATTTTCTCTCACTACGTCGAAATTTTATGATGTTCCTTTATTGATAAAAGATTTCGTCTCCTTGAAGATTCCTACCCACATCAGAATCGATTTTCCTTAAAATGCTTATTTTCGGAGAACCAATGAAATGGAAACTATTGGACTTACTGCGTTCTACTTGGGTTTTGAAATGTATAGAATAACATATTGAAAAAGATGAGTATAAGCAATCTAAATTTAGTAATGAACTAAAAAAATTAGTCTTTGAAAGATTTTCTTCGAAATGTTGAGTATTTTACCTGGCAGAGGTATTTGGAGAAACCGCTAGGTATAGTACTACCAATATATCGATGCTGCCAAGCCAAAACGGCATAAACGACATTTACTGGATTTCCCAAGAAACATAAATAACTTTGCTTAACGTCCTAATGAAATAGGCATTTGGGCAAACTTTAGCGTTTGAAGTTGACACCGTTGGACAGCGTCGATATCATTAGAAAGCTCCACCAGAATCTACAAATATACAATACCGAAAGATATCCAATAAATAAAAACTATGATTTATTGAACTCATTGAACTGAAATTTTTCAAAATGGAATAAAAACGTTGACCAAAAATTGCCATTAAATCAAATTTAAAGTAATACTTTGAAAGCTGGTTTATTGTGGTTTAGCCAATTTACTTTGTCTTGGTTAAAGTCAAAAAGAAATTTTTAAGTCTTTCTTGCATCATTATATTACACTACACATTAATTGAAAAGCCTGATAGATTTTTTGATGCAGTTTTAACTGCAGGCTGTATATTCTCTACAAGTATTTCGATGTGGGCGCTTTCAAGACAATTTTGTGCAATGATTGTAAACGCAACATTTTGTGAAACTCCGGAGAGCAGCGAGGAAATAAACTTGTTTGTTGCGGTTTTTTATTGTTTTTGCAGCTACGTCTTTAAATCAGTATGTTTCTTTAGATTTTCCAAGAAGAACGTAAACGTATAAACATTCTTTGGAGGTTGATGGGTGTTGTTTTAACACCTCTTTTCAATGTCTCCGAATGTCTTTTTTCTAATAACAGCTTCATAATCCACTTTTGCCTCAATGTGACTCTCCTCTTTCATGCTCATTAAATGCAAAACATTTACCATAACGATGTTTTATTGGCTTTTATTTAACAAATAAACTTAATTTTAAAAAATACGATTAAATCCAATTTTTCTTTTTTTCAGCGCGAAACAATTAATAAAATTCTTCCGTTAGAAACCAAAAATTATTTTTGTTACGCTTTAATTTCAAAACATGGTTGTGTTGGACTTTATGATGGCAACATGAACTTTTTATTATCTTATACTATTATTATGAATAGAGAAGACGTAGATAAATCCGATGATGAACGCCGGAGGAAAAAGAATCGTTGGATTACTGACGCAGTTTTTGCACCAAACCGCCAAATGTTTATTATTACCAACAGCACAAGAAGTATAACAATTTACGATGCTTCAAATTTACATCATATTCCATTATGGTTAATAATTGGATGTCCTTCGATTTTGACAGTAAAGCGAATAATCTAAATGGTGTTAAAATTAAATACAGCATTTTTTAGAGTTTATGTTTTTTGGATAAAAAAGTTAAACCGATTTTATACTCAGGAAATGAATATGGAGAAATTATAACGTTTGAATTTCATCAGAAAGATGATTTATTTCGAAAAAAACACAGCGATAAAATGTCTTTGTTCTACTGGGGAGAGCTGAAAAATGAAAAAGAATCAGTTACGATTAAAAATTTGGGAAAAATACATCAAGGAGCTATCAATCACTTAAAATATTTTGAAAATACTGAATGTTTGTTAACTTGCAGTAAAGATTCAAAAAAATCTGTTATGATTAAAACAAAAATAAAAGAATACATTTTTAATATTAAAAAGGTAAAAAAATTGAATATTTAATTATCTAAAAATTAAATTAATTTTTTAGGGCGTTAATTGCTGTTATTTAAGCAATAAACTAAAACAACTTATAACAGGAAGTGAAGATGGTAAAATCCATGTTTTTAATATCTTTGTAACAAAAAACCCCATTCAAATCATAAAATTGCATAAAACTGGAATTATTGATCTAATCATTTTAGAATGTAATAATTATTCAATTAGTTGTTCAAGAGATGGTTATTTAATCTTAATGGATTTAAAAGAATTCGTCCCACTTCAAACTTTGTGTATTCAATTTCAAGCTTTTAATGAATTGGGTAAAATAATCGAATGGGGTAAGAATTCTTTATGTCCTGGACCAAAAAGACAACAACCAAAAGATAATGAATTAAATTTAAACGAAAATTATGATGTTTGGGAACGAACAAATATTTTAATAACTTGTTGCAACAATTTGGTTTCTTTGGATTTACATTTTTTAGATGGCAAAATTAGAAATTTTGATTCTTCAGTTTTACCACCCCCACCTTTACAAAATAGCGTTTTAATCCCGGTTCATTGGAAAATATCTGAAGAAAAACGAGAGATTAAGTGGTAAATACAAATTTATTTCAAATTGGACTCATTAATTTATTTTTTTTTACAGCGAAGTAAGTGAATGGGATGAGAACTTATCTGAACATATAAAATCTTTAGAATTTATTTTAAATAAAGATTTAATTAAGCCTGAAGATCGCAATAACATTAATTTTAAAATATCTCAATTAGAAGCAAAGAAAAATCAGGTAAAAATTAAAATATATACAGGATGTTTCACTTAAAATTCCTAGGCCATGTATCTCTAGAATGGGTTGAGATGTTGCAATTTTGTAACAAGTTGCTAGAGTTCGTAGATGACTTCGGTTCTTAAGTATTGTTATTTTTCTTAGTGCAAATATTACATAGTTGCGATAGTTTTTTTGCTTTATTAGTTGCAGCTGCTGGTGTCTTGCCCTTCAGTCTATATTCTATATAGCAGCCTGCACATTCACGTCTAGTAAGTTTTTCGTCTTTTCTATCCAGTAGTGTAAGGAAATGCTTCTTCAGGACAGTCAGCGGAACAGTTACTCCTTGTGAAGTATCTGTAATTGAGCTACTCTCCGGCATAGCTGATGCCGGTAACCTTTATGCCGAATAGGTTTTTCACAATATCTGTTTGTGCCTGCAAAAGATTACATTTCATCTCCAAAAAGCATATCGAACGCAATTTTTTGTACCATCTCAGACTCTTGCGAACTAGTGAATAGCATATTGGGCTTCTGATGTAGATATCATGAGGACATCCCTTTTGTCCTTCCAATTTAGGATAGTGACTTGGTTTTTTTGAGCAGAAATTTGCTCTCCTCTCTTCAGTTTCTTGTTTTAACCAATAAAGGCATGTCTTTACGGTTTTTTCCAAAGTCCTACAAAGATCAGTTTTACGTTGAAGCAAGTAGTTAGCTAATGGTAACTTGTGTACCAATTATCTGCAACAATCATTCTTTCTTGGTCCAAAAGTTTTTTACACAGCTTGACAACAACGCTTCCAGGTTTATCTAGGTTAAAAATTTGGGGATCCTGGCCAATATAAACTTTATACTTCCAAACATATCCATCATCAGTTGTAGCCTTGTAAATCTTTACCTCGTACTTATGGGTTTTGTTTGGATTACACTGACGAATTAGTAGACGCCCTTCAAAAGGAACCATCGATTCATCCACAACTATGCTGTCTTTCGGTTAAAGGAGTTTTCTGCAATTTCTCAATACCATATCTATAACTGGTGTGACCTTCTACAAACGATCATAGGACATTTGTATGTTATGCATCAACGGATGATAAAAAATCGGGTCGAACTAAATGTGATTTTTATCATGCGGAGTTTGAAAGATTGAGATACTTGATTAAGCAAAAGTCTTTACAAGTAATGCTGAGCAGTCAGTGCGCTCTGATGCTCGTAGCTTCTGGAATTATATAAGGCATAAAACTATGAGTACACGACTCCCTGGTGAAATGGTTTCCTGAAAATCAAACCACGTATGCAATTTATTGGACAATCCTCAATCCCAAATAATCACTATGCTCTTCCTCGGTTATATTGTCCTCTCCATTCGATGAGTTTGACTCAGTATTTTCAAAATCACTCTCTTCTAATATTCTTTTCAATTCTTCGTCCGTATATTTACCTTTCCGTCTCATTGTTGCTCAAAATCTTATCAAAAGTATGTTACTTGAATAATACTGTCTGTAAAAAGGTTATTGCGACAGAAAATGAATTATGAAAGCTAAACATTTTCGCAGCCCACATGTAATCTGTGGACTCACAAGGCGATTTATTGTAGATTTTGTTTTAGGGGGTCCATATATGGGCTGTCAAAAAAAAACACCTTTTAGCTATTTATATACAGGTGTGTTAAATGTCTGGAATATAGCCAATAACTACGCCATTTGTGGTTTTAAAGAAAAATGTTTCAAATAAAAGTTTCTTTATTAATTGTGACACATTTGTTGGCGATATTTACTTGTTTACATTGTTTTTTGTTTCGTTGCTATGGCAACCAACATTGTTATTTTAAATGGGATGCATATGTTTTTCTTGCATAATTTGATAGAAGATAAATCCCTCTACGCGATGAACATATCAAATCATATGGTTGTATAAGAAAAAAATCGAGAAAAAATGCGTTCTCTGAAGATATTAAATCAGCAATTTACAATCAAAGTAGGCGAGGAAATAGCGCCGTTGACAGCTTTAAATGTAAAAAAATTGACAGTTTAAACAAATATGGCGCAATTAAGCGAACGACAAAGAATCCAAATATTAATGCTGTATGGGTAGAAAATGCACTCAAAGTGAAATTGTACACTGTTCAATAATATTTACCCGGATACACAATATCCAAAATATTAAAAAAAATTCCTTAACACCAGAAGTGTTAAAAACCTTCCAGAAAGTGGACGGCTGAAGACAGCTACCAATGACGAAACTACATTAAATGTGTGTCACCGTACCCATACATTATTAATTATTCATAATTGTTGAAACTGTCATTTTTTGACATTTAAAGCTCTCAGCGGCGTTATTTCGGTGCCTACTTTGACTGTAAATTAATGATTTAATATATGATTTGATATGTTCATCGTATAGAGGGACTTATCCTCTATCAAAGTATGCAAAAAAAATGCATCCCATTTAAAATAACAACATTGGCTGCCATAGCAACGAAACAAAAAACAATACAAACAAGCAAATACCGACAAAAAATGCGCCACGATTAATAATAGTACTTGTATTTGAAACATTTTTCTTTAAAACCACAAATGGCGAATTTACTGAGTATATTCTAGACATTTGACACACCCTGTATATTTTATAACATTCTCATTCTCTAGCTTGGACTGTTAACCTGTTAAGAACTGAAGTCATTTACGTACTCTAACAATAACTTCTTACAAAACTAATATATCTCAACCCATTCTACAGATACTTGGCTTGGTAGTTTTAAGTGAAACATTCTGTATATTGAAATCAATAATCGTTTTAAATTAACCAGATGAGAAGAGCTGTAGCTGAAGGAGCCCCTTATTTAGCACTAGATTTACCTAATATTTCAGAACTTCAACTTTCCCCCAATTTACCAATTCCAGATCAAAAGAAAATCCAGAGAATAGTCCAAAAATCTTATCGTTTACTCTCAGCAGCAAGTCAACGTTCAATAATTTTTTCATCTTCGTCACCATCATCTTCAAGTAGATCAAAAAGTCGAAGTAGTATAATAGAATTTGATTAAAATAAAAATTTAGATTAAAAAAAATATTTTTTTTCAAAAATCCCGCCTTTTTTGTAATTAAAATTTAAAGCATGCGCAGTGAGTGCCATCTATAATCAGGTGATTGTATCTAGCGCGAAAATAACATAACCTATAAAAATATCTCCCGCGATTTTTAGGTGTTGCCCGCCACAATTACGTCTTTTTAGCGCGAGAAACGCGCATTTTTTATTTAGTTT